AATTTATTATTTATATCATTTTTTGAATATTCATTAAACTGAATATTAATAATACTGTATACATTTCAGCTCTTCCATTAACTTGTTCACCTGGTAAGTTCATGTGATTATTAATATTTTTTATATAGAGATCCATTTATAATAATTATTTAATATAATATTTTTAAATTTTGTCTACATTTACATGATAGTATTGACTACACTTTTTCTCCTCCCACACAGCACATCAATATTTAATAAATATTTATTCATCATTATAAATAAATTAAGATAATTTAATAAATATTTTATTTTAATTGAGAGTATGTTTTTAAATATTTATGCAATGTATAGCGATCATCGAATGAACCCTTTTGCATTATGAATTCAATATTTAATGGACAATATTTAATAAAAAACAATATTTAATATTTAATAAATAATAAGGCAGATTTTTATTAAATGTTAGTATATTTTTAATTATCAATCAAATAAAACTTATTATAATATTTCAGAACCATACTTATCATTTACAATTAAATGAAAATAATAAAAGTATACTTTTTGAATTAATATTGAAACAATAAAAATGTTTTAAAAAAAGTTTACACTTATAGTTAACACTTTATATTAGTATACCTATAATGAAAACAATAAAAAAAAAAAAATCAAACAATATTAAGCAGAACTACTACATTAATAATTTAATGGTAAAAATAAAAGTATACTTTTTAAATAAAGCGATTAATATTTTAACAAAAAATATTTTTAAAAAAATGTACACTTTTTGTATTAGTGTATAATGAAAACAATAAAAAAAAAAATCAATAAAATAATATTAATAAATGTATTACAATATTGCAGAGCCACTGCATTTATGATTGAATAGAAAAAATAAAATTATACTTGTTGAATAAAAGGATTAATATTATTGAAACAATAAAATTAAAAAAAAAAATTTATACTTATTGTATTAGTAATAATGAAAAAAATAAAAAAAAAGGTTCATCATTATTTAAGTTGATGTCTTTTGATGTTGAAAGGAGCTTGGGCAAGGACATACTTCACTACTTCTTCCATTTCATTCTGAGTTACATTTTTATTAAATTTGGATTGTCTTTTTATAGCATCTGATAAATAATTTTAATGACACTATATTAAAATTATGTACAGCAATAATATAATAAAAACATATATTGTTATATTTTATATTATATATATTATATTCATATCTTACCAAAAATAATAGGACAAATCATTTGGTCAGAAAATTTTGTTTTTCCTTTTTTGCCAGAATATGAAAACAATTTTAAGAGTTCATCAGTAAAGAGTTTGGCCATTATCCTTTTTATCATTGCTTTAAAATGTTTTCCTCCTATATATGTTAGTTGATTTATCTACAATACAAAAGAAAATATATTATATGTACTACTAAATATTACTTATAGTATTCACTATAGGTATACATGTTCACTATAATTTACTTATAGTATTCACTATAGGTACATGTTAATAAATAATCAATATGCTTAGAAAATTAATATACCATGTTTGTTAATCATTAATCAATTTGACAGTCAATCTATAGTGATAAAAGTATAATAGTAACTGAATAGATTAACTTTTTAAACTTTGGTTAATGAATAAAAATATAATTGTGTATAATATTATACATAGATTTTTACATAGTAATAAGAACAGATTTAAAAAAAATATCAATCTTACACGTTAATACGTCATAATCAATATCTTTAAGCTATTATATTTCAATACATTAAATATTATGTATTTAATAGTAGCACCCAAAAATCCCAAACCCACATTATGTTCTATACATATATAGCCATATAGAAATACTGTTTACTTACCAAATTATTACGAAATGTTTCATCGTCAGATAATTTCTGATTAAATTCATTTAAGTCTGAGATAGTGTTCAATGGTAAGCCAGATATATCTTGTGAGTAATATATGTTTTCATTATTATTAGCAGCTGTTTGCATATTACTGAGATTTTGAGTCTCCAAATTCTCCATTCTTTGGCCCAATTCCATTTGGTTGTTCACGATTCTCCTTAGTTCATGTTTGATGAAAGATAATTTATATAGGACTTCTTTTTGAAATTCTGTATCTTAAAGAAAAAAAGAAATTACTTTCAAAATAAAAGTTATTATTAATAATAAATCTTATTATATTATGTAAAATGAGAAATTTCTTATTTTTATTAAAATTTAACTATAAATAAATATAATATAGACTAACCAGGGTTTATCGATGATGTGTTAATGTCCAATGCTCGTTTTTCATTTGTCATGATCAAGTGTTTAACAGCGGAGCTTTGTTTATCTAGAAAAATAAATATATACCTAATAAAATTATATTATGCAATGATGATTATTGAATAAAGTATAATAAACATATAGAATACTATATTTCTTATACACACCAAAGGTTCCTAAACTATTGTTTGATTCACATAATCCATAAAGAAAAATATTTGACCTATATTTCCCAGTAAAGATATTATAAAACAAAATCTTATATTTATAACTGTACCTATTTAATTTATTTTAATTATTCATATTTAATATATTAGAAAATAATTTATTTGAATAGTGTGTTTGTATTAAAGTTTAAAATTATAATCGAATGCGCAAATAGTCTAAAAATATATGTGTTCACATTTTTAGTTAGTGCCTCGCAATATGGAGACTAGCACTTCCATATATATATATACAATAAATAAATATTGAAATTGTATTCTACATAGTTATTATATATATATTGATAAATTTAGGAGTATAATAATGAATTAATTAAATTATTTTACATCTCACATCATACATATATATATATATATATAACTTATAAGTCATAATTACAACACCTTAAAATAATTATATTATGATTTATGATACTTAATTTTATATTTTAATGCAGTAAAAAATTTTTTACCTACAACATAATTTATATTATAATTGATACTTAATTTCATATTAATGTGTTTTAATATAATTATAATATAACCTATATTTTTAATAAGATTACCTGAAGGTGTTACAGATGTAACTGCAGCTGCAGCCGTTTTATTTTGAGCAAGTACACTGCTATCATTAGCATCAATAGTGATGTAATCATTAGAATATTCAATAATATCATCACCATTATTCAATAGTCTATCCAATTCCACTAATTCTATGTCCATGGATTGAATACTGCTATTTTCAATATTTTTCACTAATGATTCTGTAGTTATTTCTGAAGCTGTATAAATTAGAGTGTTTATATAAACAAAATTAATAATACATTCCAATTAATATACTAAGAATAGTACCTATTGTATTAATATATTATTAATATTAATTATAAACTTTTACAAATATATTGTATTATAGTAATGCATAATATTTTTTTTAAGTACAAACAGACCATAATATACCTTGACAAATATTTACTTTTCCCTTTTTATTTCCATACAATTGTATTTTATTAAACACATTAGTCATTAATATAAGATATATAAGTATACATATAATAATCAACATTTACCTATATTTTCATTTCTATCGGAATCACTATAAGAAATTTTTCGAACTGCTGACTTTTTTATATTCACATCAAAATATTTAACTGATCCTTGAGGGTCTGATTGACATTTAACTATTATAGTAACATAAAAGTAATTTATGCAAAGGCAATTGAAATTAATTAATTTCATACATTTTACTCTATCAGTATAACGAAAACTTACATTTTTTTTTACTTGGAGAAGGTGACCATAATCTTTTTGATCTATGCGATTTTGAATTGGTAATTAATTTCACACCATTGTCAGAATCATCATCAGAAGCTAATATAAATAATAGAGGACAAGTTTTTTTATATAGTTATTTAAATTTAAAAAAAGCATCAATACATCATACCAGAATATCGTGGGCATGATGAAGAAGGGTCACTACAGTCCAATAACAGTTTTGGGTTGTTTTTCTTCTTTCTCATAATGTCATCACTATTTTCATCAGTAGACGATATATTTATGTTTGTCTCTCCTTTTTCTGCCATTTTTCGGGCATTAGTAAGTGATTCTATGGATTATTTACAGTAGAAACTTTAATATGTTAAATATATGATCTTTAATGTTATATATTATATGTATAATTTATACATTATAAGTAATTTAAGCGTATTATTAGTGTATACAATTTAAGTATATAATATAGTTAGAAGCTAATGTGACTTAGATTAAAGTTTAAAGGGATAGAATGATGAACTTAATAATTGCTAACTTATTATATAATGGAACATATAAAAAATATCTGCTACAGCTGCAGTATTATAGTAACAATTATTAATTAATTATTATTTAAACTCTGACAATATTTTTTAATTTTTTTAACTGTAAAGCAGATTAATTACACACGTCTTCTTCTTTTAAAAACACTCAGAAAGTTGAGAAAAATTAACTTCTAACTTGCCACTCCAAATTATCCATATACCGCTATATATATACATGCTTACCTTAATTATTAAATTTTAAATAAAAACATGTAAAAGCTATTAACATTAGTAATTACCACAAGTTTTCATCAGTATTGCTTTATAATATTTAAATTGAATTTCATTGGGGACACTTTTTTTTTCGATTAGTTTCATAATTGCACTTCTACTTTTAGTAGTTGGCCATGCACATGTTTTATCTTTTTTGTTTACCCAACTAGTAGGAACTGCTTCAACAGTATTATCCTCAGTGAATACAATTACACTGTAGTTGTTGGACATTTTTAGTTTCCTCTGAAAAACATATAATCATCACTACAAAATATATAAACTAAATATAATATAAGCTATAACTATAAATATATATGCAATCATTACAACACAGTTAATACTAAATTTAACCACATTAACAAAAAAAAAATATATACATAAAATTATTTTTAATATACATATTATATACACCATTCTTGTTTCCTATATTGTATATAGAATATAGATGTAGTAGATAATTTAAAAAATATATTTTAAATTTCATCACTGGAATGTAAAATAGGATATGATATATTAACATTTTTCTCATAATCAAATAACATAACATACTTAATAAAATGTGTACTCTCTATATCTATAGTAAAATAAGATTCAGATAAATTCTTAACAATAGCTATGCCTAATTTAAGACTGTCAATTGGTACATCAAAATACTGTTCCACCAATTCAAAACGTCTGGCTAAAAATACAGATTTATTATTCATAGCATTATAGCAAATATTAAAGATTTTAAAAATCATTAGTTTTTTATCAACTAGAAAGCCTATATAGTTATCAGACATGGACTTAACATTAATTTTAATTTCATTTTTTAAAACTATTTGGAACTGAGGAGAAGTTAAATTTTCAAATAAAGGTCCATTATTATGTTTTTTTTTATAAATAATTTTATTTTTAGATTTATCTTGAATATCAGGTTTATTGAATATTAAGGATTCATGGTAACGATTGATAATTTGTTCTAAAGGTTTTTCATGTTTCCTTAACATTTTTTTTAACACCTTCATGAAATTTTCAAATGGAAAACAAGAACATTCTTCAAGTGATTTAAACTTTCTATAATCATCAGTGATATGTAATAGGCCATGAACATTATGAGACACGTACTGTGCACCATAAAGTTCTTCAAACTTTTCCACAAAATGTTCCAATAATTTTTGACTAAAATTTACCAATTTTTCAGAACTATTTGGAGATAAAAGAATTCTAAAACTTATATGTAAACATAAAAAGTTAAAATAACAATCATACCTCAGAACATTTTTCAAAACAATAGGACCTGTATAGAGCAAAAATAATCTGAACTCAGTTGCCTTCCATCTGCTAACTTCATTTAAAGCTCTGGATTTTCGAGAAAAATCGCTAGGTATTAATGGATTCATGGATAATAAATGATTAGAAATTTTATTTATATCTTTACTAGGAAGGCGAAACATGACGGACGATTTTTTAAACATACCTAACCAAAGTAATAACATCTTTTTCATTACACCTAAACATACCAAGTGCATATAGTCAAGACTAAAGTTATTAACCATATCTATTTCTGGTACTTCGGTTAAAATAGAAATAGTATCAGTAACGTGATGATCTTCATCTGAACGATTAATAAAATCTATATGAGTCCTTTTCAAAAAATTTGTCCCTAAAAAACATGTAGTATTATTAACCCGTTCACCTTCAACTTGACATCTTGTACATGAAGAATATCCTGCATGACCTTTAATAAATAAAACATAACTTTTGGCAGGACAATCACAACAAAAGGCATCAACAACAACAGTCTTTTTTCCAAAAACTGTTTGTACTCCATTTGTATACAATTCTTTAAGCTCAGACACCATTTCTTTTAAAAAGGTATTGCTGTTATGGGGCTTATCTTTCCCCCAATATAAACCGATTAAAAATACATGTTTTAAATTTGGGTACCGCGCATATCCTAAGATTGGCCAGAAAGTACTAGAAGATGATTTGGTTAGCGGTAGACCATCAACCCCAATGTTGATATGAATAACATCTTTAAACTTACCTATAAACTCACCTAACGTATTTATTAAGCCATTAGCAACTCCAAAATGGTAATATAACCCAGGGGAAACCACTTGAATTTCATTACGTTGATGGACATTATTAATCTTTAATACTGTTCTGGCATCAACTGGGATATCACTGAAACAGCTATGATTTTTCAGTAATTTCAACAGAGCTGAAAATGCAGTTAAAGTAATATTTTGAGCAATTGCCCATTGTGCTAATATTTTTAGAACTTCATTTTTACCATCTAAGTTATTAATGACACCTGTGATACTATTATAATAATGATTATCAAGATCATCATCAGAGTTGGTACTTAATGAAATATTTTCAGTATCACTGTAGTCATCATCAATAGTGTGATCGATTGGAAAATAATTGGAAGGAATTGGAGAAAATTGAGTATTAGAACTCTTATTAATTGAAAATAAACTATCATCAACAGCATCTTTTGGTAATTTTAGAATTTCTTTAGGTAAATCAGCATTAATACCTTGAGATGTGCTAGGTTGTAATTGCAATTGAGAATTGATATGGCTATCCGAAAAAAAATCTACAGTTTCTTTATCTAATAAAAATCTTCGGCGCTTGGTAGATTTACTAATATCATTTTTGATGAACTGTGCCATAGTAAAAGCAAAGCTATAATAGGTATGTGAGTAAAAGCAGTATATTACCACACACAAGATAAATTTTTGTTAACTATCAATTGATAGTTATAATTTTAGCTATAATAGGTTTTAGCTATATGTTAGCTATCATTGGTTATAATTTATAAAATAATCAATAGGTACAAAATACAAATACTTACGTTTGTACTTACCACTTACGTATATAGTTTAGTACTTAGTAGTGCGGACTGCGTAGTGCGTATAGACAGCAATGAAAAACTGCAATTTACTGTATAGTGTATAAATGTATAATGTAAAACACGTGTTTGTACGCACTTAGCCACTTAATACTCACAAAGTCAAGAAGCCACTTCTATCTTTTTACTGGCTCTATGCGCCTCATATAAAGCGTGAACCCGAGGGCGCCCCCTATGCACTAAATCCGAACTGCTTAGTGAACAAAGGAACGGATGGCGGGAAATCGCGGCGGCGCAGCCGTCGCCGCGTTATCACTCTTCTTTATCGCTTTTCACTTTTCATGGTTTTTACCATTTTTTTCAAAACTTTTGGGTTTTAGTTTTTACCACCCCCGGGACCCGTTTGGACCTTATTCGCGTTCCCCGCTAAATTTACTGTTGTGAGTACGCCGTACTTTTTTCCCCGCGGGCCCGCGGCAGCGGATATCGCGCGCGTTTTTTGCCCTTTTTTTTTTCGAAAATTTGAGTTTTACCCCACTCGTGGGCCTCGGGCGGCACCGTCGTAGACTTATTGGCGTTCCCCGCTAACTTTATACAAGGCGCGCGTCGTCGCCGTTTCGACGGTTTTCCCGACTTTTTCGACTGGAGTCGTGTTTGGCGCCTTCACGAGAGTGGCGGTTTTGGAATGTAATTTTACATGAGGCGGAAAAATATTAAATAGTAAATACAATATTACACTAATACAATACACGTCCTACGACTACATCATGAGCAGACGAATATTTCACGAATCACGACCAAAAGATAACAGGCGTGGGAGTGTGGGACACCTCGACGGCCGTCTGGCAAGCGCAGCCCCCCACCGGCCCCACCTAGCAAGTAGCGCTGCTGCATACAATTAATGTCCCGGCGGCGGCGGCCAATGTTCATAATATCGTTGTGCGGTTGATTTTAGTCGCCTCTGGCGGCGGTCTGCGCATGCGCAATTTACACTATTTTACGAGCTTATATTATGTGTGTGCGTAGACGCACCTCGCATGCACTAACTTAGGCGACGGCGGCTACCGCCTCTCACCACTGTCGATCTTAGCGGCGGTGGCTGCGGCGCAGTGCCGGACCAATATTAAATGGAAACTATTAATATTATAATAGCTCGTAAGTTACGTTGCAGCGACGCGCAGCCATTCTCGCGTTCGCACAAGTTCTGTACAAAAAAATAATATTCAATATTGTTGTTATATATATATAAAATATAAATTAATTAATTAAAATTAAAAATTAAATTATACGATTTAAATTTTAAATTTTTAAATAGTACAAAATACCAATATGAATAACCAAATATTTTTTACTTTCATAAAAATTACAAGTGAGGCGATGCCTCACTTTCCTCACCCAGTCACCCCCAAAACCGCCACCGCCGCCCGGACGAGACGTCCGACCTCCCCGTCAGAGACGTATATTCGCGTTCCCCGCTAAATTTATAGCCGGTGCGCTGCCCTACTTTTTCAAAAACCAAACCAGGGGAGGTTAAACGTGAGCGGAAACGTGAGTAGGTACCGTGTATGTATCGCTATATACAGGCATAAATACATGCGTCTCGAGGTTCGATTTTTTTCGCAAATCTCGCGTTTTATACGGCCGAGGGTGGCGGAGCGGGTCGTCTGCTTGCCGACGCGGTCGGATTGCCCGGTTTAACGCCCTTTGACGGACGCGCGACCCGCGTTCGAAATTCGCGGGGACGGCGACTCGGCTTAAGAGTCATAGATTTGACTCCGGATTTCATCTCAATAAGTGGCTAGGTACGTTAGGCTTTAGGACAGGTGACTCGACGAGGGTCTTGGTTTCGATCCCGGCCGTTGGAATTATCGATAATTTGCAGCGGCCGTGATAAATCGAATTTCTTTTTTTCGCATTTTTTTTTCGGCACATTTATCATTTTTAACAAAAGTTGAAAGTATTAAGTTTTTTTCAAAATTTGCGTTATTATATTATATATATTATTATTCGTTTGACGATATTTATTGGGCAAAAAAATATTAATATATAATAAATTAATATATTAAATAATAATAATAATTAACATTTATAATTAATACTTGATTTTACCGTGACCGACGCACCTATATGTTTCTTTTTTAAATATAATATAATATATAACTAACCTAAATGTAGTACCTACTTGATATATTACAGTTTTTAGGTGATTCCGATTTGGTTAAATAATAAATACTGCTACAGATTATAAATACTTTTTAATGCAATATTAATAAACTATATTAAAAAATAGTACGACTATATGACTGCTATATTTGCCGTTTGTTTTCGAATATTCGAGTTTTTGCCAATTTCGGTCGTATTACCCCGTTTGGATCTTATTCGCGTTCCCTGCTGAAATTATAACCTCGCGCGGCTATACTTTTTCAAAAGCGAGTCCCGGTGAGGAGCGGCGTCGTGGAAACGAGAGAAGGTACCGATTACGTATCGCTATATACATGCGTCTCGACGTTCGATTTTTTTTTTTGCAAATCTTGCGTTTTATACGTCCGATGGCCGCGGAGCCGGTAGTCTGCTTCCTGACGCGGTCGGATCGCCCGCTCAAACGCCCTTTGACGGCCTTCCAAACGGCGTTCGCCTTTCGCGGGGACTGACGCAACGCGGCTTAAGAGTCATAGATTTGAATCAAGTTTTCTTCTCAGTAGGTGGCTAGGTAGGTTAGGCGTTAGAACAGTTGACTTAAGGTTTCGATCCCTGCCGCAGGAAATATGAAAATTTGCGGCGGCCATGATAAATTGAATTTTTGTTTTTCTCGTTTTTTTTTCGTCGTTTCGCTATCACTTCCGGCTTATCATATTTAACGAAAATGTTTCGATTTTTTTCAAAATCGAGTTTTACCGCCTCTACGGACTTCGGACCTCCCCGTCGAAGACTTATTCGCGTTCCCTGTCAAATGATTTCGCAGAGCGGACAGCTAGTGTCTTTATTACTATACATGGGCGTGAATATAATATGCGACGAAGAGTTCGACTTCTTTTTTTGTCGTTTTTTTTTAAAAAATTTCGAGTTTTAGCTCCTTTCGGTCGTATTACCCTCCCCGTTTGAATCTTATTCGCGTTCTCCGCTAAATGTATAGCCGGCGCGCGGCCCTAAAGAGTAGGTACCGTGTAAGTATCACTACATACAGTCATAAATACATGCATCGCGTCGGTTTTTGCCGTTTTTTTTTTAAAATTCGAGTCTTGGGCCGTTATAGTGGTATTACCCTTCCTGTTTGGATGTTATTCGCGTTCCCCGCTAAATTTATAAGCCGCCCGCGTCAGTACTTACTACTTCACTCGAGTCTTGTTCCGCGGAGGAGATCGGGGAGCGGACAGTGTCGTTATTACTATATACGGAAATGAAAATATCCGACGAAAAGTTCGATTTTTTGATTCAAGAAACTGCGTTATTATATTATATTTTACTGCCTTTTGTCCTTTTGAACACTCGGTTATCAATATACACGATATAGCCACAGAATCATAGGCTGGGTTGGGTTAGTTAAATTATATATTTAATTAAATACTGGCAGTTAAATTGTATAATGATAAGACATAATTAGATATTACTCAAAATATAGGTAGGGCTATCATGCATATTTCCATGAGTTTCAAATCAATAAAACAAATACATAATTAATAAATGATGAATAACAAATTGATATTATATATTATGTAGTTGCATATGACTTATGTATTATAATATAGATGTATTAAGTATACAATATAAACTACATCCATCATACACACTTGCATACACATAATACATAAGTCATAACACAGTGATGCACCATTATTCATTAGCTTCATTTTTATTTACAGAATTAGTAAAAAATATATCAAAATTATTCCATATTCCATTTGATGATCTGTCATCTGATATCATAAAATCTTGGATAAATTTATAAACACCAATTAATTTTAGTGAAATACTCATCGAATAAATTTATTGGTTTACTATGAACATCTATTATTTTATTATTGTCAACTATATAGCTGCTAAGCGCAATATTGCAGTATACTATCATAATCTTATTGTTAATGCAGATTAAAATAAAATAATATACATTGTAAAGATTAAATACAAAATTGTTTAGTATATTAATTACTTTATGTTACATTTTAAGTTGCATTTAATTTAAAATTTCCTTTGAAAATAATATATATTTTATTTGATGAATAAAAAATAAAAATAAAATAATAATTATAAATATTGAATAAATTATTAGTATTAACAAAAAATAAATATTAATATAGTTTAGTTATTTAATGTTATATCATAAGATACATTTAATTTCCAATTGACGTTGGAAATTAAATATATTTTATTCAACGAATAGAAAATAAATATAAAATATCAATATTAAAGAATGAATAAATAATGAGTTTTAAACCAAAAATAAATTTTTATTTTTTCAAGTTGATTAAATGTTAAATTTTAAGATTTATTCAATTTTTAATCATCTTTAAAAATTAAATATTGTTAAACTAATATTTATTCGTAACTATATAATATTTTAATTAATAGGTAAAAATTAAATATGTTATCAATAATTAATAACTTTTAAATTTAAATATTTTAAATCCAATTCAAATTTAATATTTATACAATTGTTTTGATTGACAAAGGCTGTGTGGGTAATTTAATACAGAATTTTAACTTCCAACAATAAAAAGAATATAGTAGTAAATATATTACACTGTAGTACAAACAAAGTTAGTTGTATAAATTGCTAACAATAAGACAATATGTGAAATGATAAAATATTTATCCAGTACACAA